CAAAAGTCCCATAGCATTTGGGGACAGCCTGGATTCCTGTGACAGCACAGGTTGACACCTCCCTTGAAATGAACCCATGTACTGTTTTTCTCTATATGAACCCCCTCCACATGTTACCTTACTCTACACACAGCACAAAGAAATAAGGGATTCGGGGTGGGGGGCATGAAACTGGATTGAGTCTCATTTCTCCTCCTGTGCTTCATAAAACTGGGAAACCATGCATGCACATATTATATCTTCTGAAAAAGGCTAAGATGGAGCTAATTTTAGATCCTTTTAAACAAAAGAGGCAAATTTGAATTCAAATAACCTTTAGGATCCTGATAAATTGGACCTCTTAGAAGGCTCACTGGCATTCTCTCCCGGCTAATGTTCTCCCTCAACAAGTATATTGATTCAGGGTTGCCCCCCACAGACTGTGTCCTTGGGATTGCTATCTTTCCCTTCATTTGTCTCTTGATACCCGTCCACCCAAGGTTTCTTCTTCAGCACAGAGGTCATCTCACTTATAATTTAAAATGACTTCACTTAGTAATAGAGATAGATATTAGAGAGCAAACTAGACAGAAGTACATAATGAAAGGCCAAGTTTCACTTCTCTTTTGAGTTTGACATGGATTAGCACACTAGCTCTCATTCCGCCATTCAACTTGCGTGTTCCTGCAACATGGCTGTTCTCACACTTACAGTTCCCTTTGATTCTGGGATAAAACTACTCAAACCACAACTTAGACATTTTATTCTCCCTTGGAAACTTTAGAAGAGATTTCTTATAAACTAGATTCCTAAGATCTTATATTAGGGTCAAGCCAACCTAACAATTTGCACATTAATGTTCCTACTACTAAAAAATGGGCCTGAATTTATCTTACTCTCTCCTGGAATGACCTGCCAAGCGCAAATACTAGAGATTTGTTCTTCTGTTCTCTTTAATTCAATCATTTCTCTATTCCTTCTCTCTAGCACTTACAACATTTTTTACTTTATCCATCCACCAATTAATGTATTTTCTTTTCTTCTCTCTGCAGTTTGAATATATATATATATATATATATATATATATATATATATATATATTCATTCTAGTGGAGTTTGAATATATATATATATATTCTACATGGAGTTTCTATATTTTTCCCCCAGAGATTCTGACTCTTCAGTTATCTTCACCACCAGTTCAATGTACTAGTTAACATTTGGAATTTCAGAGTGAGATAAACCTAGATTCAAATTTCCCACTGTGCTACTTGCCATCTATGTGACCTGCAGTAATTTCCTACTCACTCTGGTTAGAAGCGTGTGTTCTTACCAGTTGGATGACCTTGGGCCAGTGACATAATAATGCCACACCTCACTGTCTTCAGTTGTAAATGGTGGTGCCCACCTTATAATGCTTTTATAAGGACTAAATGTGATGATCAACACAAACATGTTTAGCACAATGGCTAAATAAACTAAGTATTTTGTGAACATTAGTTATCACTATTAATTCAAATTACCAGTCCCATTTTCCATATACCAGGCTTTGACTCCACTTTGTTCTCAGTGCAAATGCTATTATTTCTTAAGCCCAGATTTCATTACACCTGACTAGCCAGAGGCTCTCTCCCATGGTCCACATGGAGTTGAGAGTAGAAAGCCTGGGGAACCAGAAGCACTGCCAGACTTCTTCCACAGTCAGTCATTCAGACATGTCTGAATTTGAGTTATGGTGAGTCTTTACTTGTCCCTTCTCTTCTGTACGCTTCGGCTTTCTAACAGGGCAGCTGTCACCTAAATGCATCAAAACTTGAACGTCAAGGTTATTATCATGAGAATTTCAGCAGACATCATTGAAGCAGAGACCTTCTATGAAACCACATGGGGAAGACCAAGAGGAGTGATCAGCATACATGTCAGATGCTTCAGAATCCCACAGGTGGGGAAATCAATGCTTCCATTTAGGGAAAAAAAAAAAAAAAAAAAAAAAAAAAAAAAAACAGGATGGGAATCTGACCATTGCCTCAGTCACTTCGCTGCACTCCAGCTTGTCTTATCTGAAGGAGCTGACAACCTCCAATGTCCCCGGCCCCCTTCATTGCTCCAAAGTCCATTCCTCCAGACAATGAGAGTGCATTCAAGAGATTATCTTCCCAGAGACAAGTTGCTCTAGTTGCTACAAACTTTTGCTTGAAATTCCAAGAAAGTTCACAAGTACATTTTTAGGATGATGTGAAGTATGTCGGAAGCATTCCAAATATTAATCATTATACAAGAAAGAAGTTAGCTTTTAGATTTTGTTTGTGGTAGGGGTGATGGTGGGACCCAACCCACTCCACCCCTGAAAGTAAACGGAATGCATATAGTAACACAAATTATTATTTCTTTCAATAACTAAAATGGAAATTCTGAGGATGTGAAAACTAGCAGCTTTGTTTATTATAGTAAAGGTTTTGTTTTGCTTTTTATTTGAAAACTAAGATTATGCTGGTTAAAAAAAAAAAAAAAAAAAAAGAATTTTAAAACCAGCACAGTAGCCCTAGACACTTTGGCTCAGTGGCTAGAGTGTTAGCCCACAGACAGAAGCATCTTGGGTTAAAAGAAATTCTGTAGAGCTAATTGCAATGGAAGCTAAGATTGGTCAAAATACATAAAATATTTAAAGCAGCTATGTCGTAACTATTCCCACTATTATAGATGAAGTTAAACCACAGAACTATGTAGACTTGGGAGGGTGGGGGCATCTTCTTTTCACTGATGAGCCCAAGATATTGCTCCTCTCTGATCACAACAACCATGGTGACACATGTTTTTCCTGCCAATTCTGCATGTACTAATACTAGATAGTTACAAACAAAACCCAGAGACATCATTTTCATTCTAATGAGCTAATCCTGAAATTATTCTGCTTTTTCCTGTGGCTTTCCCGGTTGCCCCACGGTGCAGGCTCCTGGGGGCCTCCTGCTCGCATGCCTCACTGTAGACGCTAGCCCAAGCTACCGAGGGACCCTTGATAGGGAATTCTGACTCCTGACATACCCCCCCTCCTTAGTTCCTCTTTATCTACAGTCTGTTAAAGAATGTTTGTGGAGATATTGTGGGCACATCTGCACACATGTTCCTATGGCTTTGAAAAAGGAGTGGGCAGGGGAGACCTACTATGAGTTAAGGTGATACCAGCAAGGCATTTCAGATTTCAAGAGGCAACTGAAAAGGAAATGTCGGGGAGATCCCCTGATTTGAGGGCAGTCTATGCCTTCGCCTCTCCACGTGGGTGCTCACGGTGGAGATTGTGGGTCTTCCCTCCTCAGAGCTAAAAAGATTGAGAGATTTTGAAAGGCCCAGGTGTGCCAAAGGTCAGAGGGGTCAACATCCAGACCCTGTCCTGGGGCCGGGAGGGAGCAGACTCCAGTAGAAAAACCTCTGCGAAAGGGAAGCCAGTGGAGGCACGGAAGTTTCTGAATCATTAAAGTTAAGAATAAGCAAACTCGATTGCCACTCGGGGGGAAGGAGGTGGTGTGGGGGGGAGGGGGGGATAAAAAAAAAGCAGTTGATGTGGTAATTAAGAATTTGGTGAGAGCCTAGGCAGGTCACCTCCTTTCTGAGATCAGAGCCCCATCAGAAATTCTTTCAAGTGTCCTTCTGCGTCGCCAACGATGACAACAGCAAATCAATAAGTGCTTGAAATGAAAGGGGCTGGTGCTGGCGAGCCCCCAGGCTACAGATTTCCCTGCCGCCAGCCTTTTCTGAACTCCGAGCGTGCCTTCGCACCGCCTCTCTTCACAAGAGCTACCTTTTATTCCTAATTCTCAGGACGAAGGTAAGTGCTCAGTTAGCATATCTATTACTGTCGGCTGGAGTTCCAGCGCTCGGGTCACGCGGAGCTGGCGGCCGCCGCTCGCCCAGACCAGACGGCCGGCGAGGCCGGGAGAGGGAAAGGCTGGCCAGCCCGCCCGGCCGCCCGCCTCCCTCCCGGCCGCCCCGCCGCCCCGGGATGCGGCCCTTCTGGGGTAGACCTGGGGTCTGAGCGAGGGGCCAGAGCGATTGCAGCCGACCAAGCGCTCCTTACCCATCGTGTATTATTTACAAACAAGCACCAAATCAGCCACAAAAGAGAAGGACCGGGGTTCCCAAAGAGAAGCTCGGAACCACCGAATTTCCGTTCTGATGAGTTCCAGACAGCGGCCCGTTACCCACCCTAGACGCACTCATCCCTCCCTAAAAAATGTCTTGATTTAACCATCTTTCCAGAGCCCCACATCTCCGCGACGTTTTAATTAGGCAATTCATTAGTAAGTCAATACAGACATTTATCTATTCTTTTTAGCTCTAGTGGTTAAGTACTAATTTCAAAATGATTATACGGTACCGGAACAGGCAACAACGCATAGTCGTTTTAATTTATATGCAAATCAACGGGTTCATCTTAAATGCCTTTTTTAAAATAAAATTAAAACAACAACAATTATTGTATTGTAGCATCGGAAATTCTGATCAAACCGCCCGAAGAGATGATTCGGAAACAAGACCTAGACTGGCGAGGAAATTTAGAACGGCCAACAAATCAATAACGTTGGAGGCAGTTAAACATCTCCAGCCATCGGTATTTACATACTCGCTTGTTGTCAGATAAGGAGCCGGGGAAATTGCCTGCCAGGGTTGAGATCATAATCCAGAGTGAGAAAGTAAATGGTAGCGCGCAGCCCCCGTCCCGCGGGCTGGTGAAATAATACTGTACCTTTTCCCAAATCCCGACTTTCTGGGTGCCCGAGGGCTGGCCGGGGTCACCCCACATTTGTCCCCCGTCTCGCCCCTCTTTGATCAGAAAATGAGGTGTCCTCCCGGAGCCTTGCAGTGTGATTCTTGTTCTAACCGTCCTGTCACTTGCCTCCAAATATGAAAGGAAGGGGGTATAACTCAGAATCTCACTAAAAAGTCTCTGACCCTGTTCAGCCAAGTAGCGCTCTTCCTGGCGGATTGGAGGGGAGGGGATGTTTATTTCCCGGTGTCCCCCCTTCACACACACACACACACACACACACACACACACACACAGTCAACCCCATGGTAGAAAAGACAGAAAGAAGAGCTAGGGAAAACAGTCCAGTGAAAGGGTATTACGTATCTTCAGACTTGTTTCAGATTTTTTTTTTTTGAAAAGTAAAAATGATGTGCACACCAGAGGGGGGAAAATGTTAGAGATATTCTAGAGCCCTGAGTCTCATCAAGAAATACCAGGAGGAACCGACCCGAGTTGTTTATGTCAAATTGGAACAGCCTTGAAATTCACAGATACGCGAGGACGTCAGCGTCTCCCCACCTAGGCGACCGACCGGGCCCTGCAGGAGCTGCTGGTACCTTTGATGCCGCAGCCGTGTTTACAACCGCAGGGCCGCGTGCTCGCTCTGCTGGGACGCTCCCTCCACCCCTTTCTCATTTGGAGTCATCGGAGCCTAAATACGATTGCCACGGCCCTTCGCCAAGGCCCACGATTCCATCTCTGCTCTGACAGGGAAACCCTGAAATCCACATCTTACATCAGCTCGGCGGCGTGCAGCCCCCCTCCCCCCCTCCCAAGCAGCACCCTGCCTCCCCGCTGCATGCCTAATGTATTCCCCCGTGGTCCTGGGCATTAATTAGTTGTTTAATAGGAGTATGACTAAAAATGTAAAAGAAGGATTAGGAGCGTGAAACGTATGTCCAGCTCCTTCCACACACTCGAGGAGGGAATGAGAATCATTCTGTATCTCCTATTTCTCCAGGAGCCATTTGCATTTCCCACCAGCTGCTCACTTCAGCTGCACGGGTGCTGGGCAAGGCGAGGACCCAAAACCTCAGAGCAGGGTCTGCACTGGCCCCTGCCAGGCCAGGATTCAGGCAGGCGAGACTCCAGACCGAAGGGGGGTGAGGGGTCCTGAGCTTCCCCAAACCCTTTCCTCCCAGTCCAGGTTAGCAAACCTCTGAATCCAGAGGGGATGGGATGGGGGGGGGGGGGAGACTGGGGTTGCACCCGCAGATCTGCGAGTTCTCTCTCCCCAGTCTCTCTCTCCCCAGTCTCTCCGGGTCTCTGAATCGTCCTGTCTCTGATTTTCTCACTCCTTTACCACTTTTTCTTGAGATTTCCCATTCCTGCCACTCACCGATGAAGGCGAGGCCCTTCTGCTTGAGCGTCTCTTAATCTCTATGAAATGAAAAGAAAAATGGGGGGGGGGAGGACATGAACCCATTATTTGGGATGGGGGGTAGGAGAAATCTTTGATAAGCAGAGAAGAAAATGTCTCTCTTGGAAAACATCTGTCGGTATGGTACGTACGTCGTAACTTTAGATTTCAATTGTAAGACTTGTTGAGTAAATTTTATTTTCTTGCCGCAGCAAGATTCCAGAAACCCAGAGACAGGGGGAGGAATTAAAATTAAAACAACACAAAACAAAAAAAAACAGCACGTGGGCATTTCCCGCTCAAGTCTCTTCCCTTAAATAAAACTGTCTGGGATGGTCACCTGGTAGAGGGAGACGGTTTGAGTTTTCACGGATGTTATGTGAAGCTCAGTAACGGCTTTAGAATGTAGATCTCTCTCTCTTCAGTTTTCTTCCGTGGCTCAAGAAGCTAACCCTTTCCACAAAATGAGTCCATCTGTCGACTGTTAGCTATTTCAAAAGTGAAGGGATTTAGCATTCAAAACAAATTGAGCGAGTTTGTTTGCCTGTTTTTACTGCTAACTCAGATGAATTCAAAACACGGAGTAATTCCACAAAACACATAACATGTTCCAGACAGCCCCCAGAACACAGGAAAAGCCCCAAACCTATGTGGTGACCGGGATTATCCTAATGGCAGGCCTTTTTCATGTACATTTCTCACACGTCGTTTTATTTTCCTAAAATTTCGAGAATTGGTTTAGGAAGAGCAATACAACTTTTAGAGGACTTTATTGGGGGAGGGGGGGCGGGCAGCGGGGAGGGCTCTTTCATGGCAGACCTGGCTGCGTGTTTGCTCCTATGCAGGGACTAATATTGGGGGGGAAACCCCAAGCGAGAGCAATGGCTGTTTTCCAGCGCTTTCCAAACACATGCATGAACAGGATGCCCTTGAGACTGCAAGAACTTTGCCCAAGGTGCCTGGCAGAAGCCCTCACACCTGGGCTTCCAGGAGAGTCCTATGCATAGCCCTTCCATCCCAGGGCGAGACTGAGCACCAGTATCTTGCTCCCTGCCTTGCTCCAGTCAAGACATCGAAACATCAGGGTTTAGCAAGAGGACACACTTTTGGGATGAAAGTGACCTCCTCTCTCGCTTCACTTGTTCTCCGACTTCTAGGAGAACATGTGGATCTGAGGGGAGCGTCCCTTCCCACCCCCACCAACGTCCCGTGCAATTCAATACCGCGCTCAACGAGAACCTTAACCTCGTCATTTTAAAAAATGAGATAGCCGTGACCCGGAGTGAACTCGCGGAGTGTAGGTACAGCGGAGGAAATTCTAGACCCGGCGAGGGCCTGAGCCTTGTCCAGCGCAATCTCTTTGCGTGCGATTCGTGCGCGGACCCTGGGTGCCGCCCGCTGACCTGTTTCCCTCGCATTGACCTTGGGAGCCTGTGGGCAGGCCCTGGGTGCTGGGTCTGGCTCTCCCGCGCTCGCTCCTGACTGCCCCCACTCACCCCACTTTTCCAGATTTCTCCTGGGTCATTCATCCTCTCTCAGCCCCACTCTGCCCACCTTACCTCCAGCCTCCTGCCCTTCCTTCAATCCTTCTCCCCCTCCACTCCCCCCCCCCGCCCCGCGAGCGCGCGCGCGCGCACACACACACACACACACACACACACGCCCCCACCCCATCCACCCCTACACCCAGGCTCCGTGACCTCTTCCCTCAGCCCTGCAGGCCTGCGAGAAGGTCACACACCCGCACACTCCGATTCACACCCCGCAGGCCTCGCCCCAAACAATCCCTTACACACTGTCCTCCTTTGTTCATTCCTTGGGGGCACTCTTCCCCGTCCGTGCCTCCCTATCCGTCCCGGGCGGCGGGCTCCCCAGGAGTACCTTTCTGTCTCCCCGACGCCCCGGCCCTCCTTCCCTCCCTGATTCCTTCGAGCTCCCGGTTTGGCGCGGATTCCTTTCTCTCCGCCTCCTCCTCCCGTCCTCCCTCCGCGTCCTCCTCTCCGCCGTGGGAGTGCGAGCGCCCGCCGACTCCTGTCTGCGCGCCCCGCCCGGCTCCCTCTCCCTCTCCCTCTCCTTCCTCCCTCCGCTCTCCCCAGCTCTTTCCCCGGCTCCCGCAGGCCTCTCGGTCCCCGGCCCCGCCTCGCCTCCCGGAGCCCCTGGCCGCCGCCCCCGCCCCGCGCCGGCCGGGGCGCTGAGCCCGCTCCCCGCGCGGCCCGGCGCGGCCGCCGCCCGCCGCCGCGGGGCAGCGGAGTTTGGTGGAATCTCTGCTGACGTCACGGCGCTCCCCACCCGCCCCGAGCGGAGGGCGCAGAATGGGATGAGAGCGAGGGAGGAGAGAGCGAGCGGGAGCCCGAGCGGGGAAGCTGGAGCGCAGCGGGAGGACACCGCCGGCGACGGCTGAGACCCCGGAGCCCCCCCCCTCCCCGCGCCCCCGCGGACTCCCCGGGACCTCGGCGCCCTCGGGAGCCCCGCCGGACCCTCGGCCCCGGCTCTCGGGCGCTCGCGGTGCAGCCCGCGCCCCCGGCTCGCGGGCCATCTCCCCGGGAAGCGGCGGGACACGGAGACAGACGGCAGCTTCCTCCCTCTCCCGGGAGCGGGTAAGTGGAGGCCGCCGGCCCCGCGAGGGTGTGAGATCATGCGAGTTTACAAATTTGTTCCACTTTGGGGAATCTTCACTTGGAGGTGATTTGTGGCTCTTGGGGATGCCTTCCCCTCCATCCTCCCCACCCCCCGAGGCAGGCAGAATTTGCAAAGCCCTGCTCCTCGCGTCCCCAGTCACAGACGCGAACAATCTACGGGGCGCTGAAGTCGAGGGGGAGGCGAGACCAGGGCTGGCATTTAAAAAGAGGTATCTTCCCTTAAATCTCGGTGCCAACGCGGCAGGGACAGATCCTCGGGCTGGGGATTAGCCTTCTCGAGATAAAGGGCCCGGGTACAAAGTTTTCGCTACTGGAAGATTAGCCCTCTTCCCATTGTTACCAATTGGGAAGAAAAGATTCCATCTTAACTGGCAGTGAGTGACCTCTCAGGCCCAAACGAATTACCTGGGAGCCAGGACTGGATGCCAAACTCACACAATTACTTCGGATTATAAATCCTTTAAATTGATCACCAGTCAACTCCGGTCTTACACTTTCGAGAGATACATTTTACATGGGTGCACGGAAAGAGACTCTTCCAAATGTCAAGTAAGAAAAGGATTGATTCCGAATCTGCGAAATACGTTCCTCTTTTATTCCAATGTAATGGCTTTACTTTTCCTAAGCAATTTAGAAACCAACCCATCATAGGGTAGTCTGATTTTTATTCTTTTTTGTGTATGCAAGGATTATGTCTTACTAAAGAAAACTAAATGGGAAAATATTTTTTGCTATAGTAAATTAAAATAATAGGAATTCATACATCTGAACACATTTTAATGAAAAAATTAACCTACTTTAGAGAGATGCCCTTGAATTTTTTATAGGCCACTAATAAGAATTAAAGATGGTTTTAATATCATTTTGGAGGAAATTCATCTAAAACTCTAATACCAATTATTCCAAGGAAACAAAGCAATTAAGCGAAATAGCTTGAAGATTTTTTTATTAATGAAACACAAAATAACCATGCAATAATTCAATAATCAAACTTTCCCTAAAAATTAAGTAGCTGCTTCGTTTATGGAATGTTTTTACTTTATCTCAGCAAAACTATATTTAAATTATTCAGGTGCATCGTTCCTCAAGTGCTCCTGAAGCATCGATATTAATTGGTTTAAAAGAAGACTTACCCTGGTAAACTACAGGACTGTGTTGTGCAGTATTTTGATGTCCTTAAATAATTACCTGCTGCAAATTAATTTACTGGCTAATCTCCCCAATTTAGTTCATTTAAAACATATGTTCTTGTGCTGTTTATTTCTAAATTTTCCATTGAAGATTTTATTAGAGGATATCAAAATGAAAGGAAAGGGGAGGAAATATGAAAGGATTTGGAATTATGAGTACTCTCTTTTCCCAGCAATTTTTCTTACGGCAATCATTAGACATTCCTTTTAAGCAAAATGTTTTATTTCTTCGTGTATGCCTGCCTGTCGAGGCCTCTGTGGTTCCGTGTGCTGTGTTAGCTGCTTGGTGCTTCTAGCATGCTCACAACAGAAAACTCCAGCTGGACAGAGCAAGATTCCCTGGCGTATACTCTCCAACAAGGACATGAACTTTGGGGGTGAAAACTTTCTATCAGTAAAAGTTGCACATCTTAATTTGGGAGATTAGCCATGGAAGCTAGACCCTAAATCTCACAGCCAAATTTGTCTTGTAAGACTCGTCTTGACAGGGGCACATTTAAGGATCAGCAGGCAGGAATTGGAAAATTATTTTTTTTAATTTTAATTATCTTCCTTATTTATTTGAATTTAATTCATCTAGTAGGCCTGGTCATTCTATAAAGCAAAATAAAATAAAATAAAATAAAAAATACACATAAGTAAATGCAGGTTTCTGGGCTCATTTTGACCACCAAGTAAATCCCCAAGTCACAAGGACGCCAGGAGGGAGCTAAGGAATTGCCTTGACCTTCTTTTCAGTCTTTGGAGGAGAATTCTTGAAAATTTGTTTTGTATTACTCTGTTTGGTCTACAGAACCGAAGCTTAGGAGTGGGGGAGAATGTGTGTAATAATTGACTGACTTGATGTGGTGTGGCCATTCTTTTGTATAGTTCATTCTTTTAGAAAATAAAAAGTATTTGCAGTTACCATCTGCAATGCTCCGGCCACCGGCTAATAATGCAGCCAGTTCAGACGCTAAGGGGAAGGAAAAAAAAAAAGATTATCGAAATGATGATGACATGCAAATTTCCCCCGAAATTATCATAAGTAAACATTTGAAGTCTGGACTAATAAAATCCCATCTGTGTTACTTCATATCGAGTTAGTAGAAAGCTGTGATAATGAATTTTGTAATATCTCACGAACAGACATCTCAATCAGGAACTAATCCTGTGATTTTACTGCAGAATCACTAAATCTGGGACCGCCAAATTGCTACTTCTGGGACCCGGGCCCCCGCAGCAAAAAGCCGCGGAGCCCCCTGATCTCGCTGGCGGGTGGGAAAGCCATTTGGAGGGTCTCGACCCTTAGATCCCCCACGCCTCTGTCCCTCCTCTGGGCAGCGACTCTGGCCAGAGGCCCTTGCTCCTTCCAGGAGAGGCCAAGGAGCAGGGAAATGCGACTCAGGCCCGAGGCAGACCCGCAGCGGCCTGCCCGCCTCTGCCCCTCCGCTGGCGGGGCGCCGCCCTCGCCCACCCTCGGCCCTTCCTCCAGGGCCGCGGGCCCTCCCGCCGCAGGCATACCCTGGTGAGCGCGGAAGGAGGCGGGCGCAGAGATCCCACGGTCCTGCGGAGCCCCGGGGCCTTCTTTCATTTC